ACACACACACACACACACACACACACACACACACACACACACACACAGACACAGACACACAGACACACACAGACACAGACACAGACACAGACACAGACAGAGTATCTACTTTCTAGACGAGTGTGTACTGTACATATAAAGCTGAATAAACAGAGAAGACATAAATAACCCTCATGAGATAATCAGGTCAGATCTATGGGTTGGGTGCAGTCTGAATAAATACAGATTTTGCTTGTTAGATATATAGTTCAGTGTGACCAAATCAGACCACAGTTATGATAGATGCATAAAACATACAAATTGAACAACAACCATCTGCAATGTTTTGCGTTTTGCTACAGTAAATCAGTGTGCAGTTCAGCGAGAGCAGTCAGAGATGTAACACCGATAAACTGACTTTTTCCCAGTCCCTTCCTCCCAACTGAAACTGCAATCTGAAGAGCAGAAGCTGAAGAAAATGAAAACTAGACAACTGAACGTAGCAGAGCAATCAGTGAGATCTGCAAAGTTGGTTTCCACAAATTCAATCAGGAAAGCTTTTTATCTAATAAATCTCAATTTTTGAGATTCTGTGCAACATCACCGCCCAAAGTCGGTCTGGAATTGTCATGGTCAAGGCACCGCCGAACATAGCGGAGCAACGTACATCACCATACCAGCAGCAGCTCAAACACTGTACTTTCTCTTACAGCAAGTGTCTGACACATCAAAGCTGTGCAACTAAGCAGGGTGTCATTTACGACTCTGTTTAGTGCTTCTTTGCACCAGCTCATAAAAAAGTGTGAATTTATAACATTACATGCATAAATACATGATAGCCATGTAGTTTAAGATAACACCAATAGACAGTTAATGCTGTTAAAATACGCAAAAATGATATCACACCCATATTCCCTGAACTACAAAGCTTTCTTCTGATTTACTGCAAATAAACACCTCTCGCTGTGATTATACTTCTGTATTTTCAACAATGTTACCATGTGTTTCATGGTCAAGGTAACGGCTTTGATATTCACTGTTATTAGTCGTGTTGATGATAATTTACTTCCTTCGGCTTCACATGCAACTAGGACACCACAGTACTCTGGAAGCGCAACAACTGTGTCAAAGTTGCACTTTGACAGATTGGCGCCGATTATAGATTTTTTTTTTTTCTTTGGCCTGTTTGTTTTGTTTCAGCCCCCACCCTCACAGAATAAACTGTTTATTTCATCAGTTTGGCAACAAAAGCATGTGATCAATCATTCATAATTTATGATGCAGCCAATGGCTTAGGGCCCATACAAACAGATATTTGCATTGCACAAGTTGTTAGCTGGACCTCCGGATAACAGACCTCCGGATAACAGACCAATAAATATTGTTGTTGTACACACACACGGGCCCCTGATCTGATAAGAGGTAAACTTTGCCTCTGTTTTACAGTAGACCACAGGGCACTGCTAGCAGGGATGATGTTGTGATCACATGCTACTATAACAATGACCTGGACCCCGTCCTTTAATTCCTGTTCCCTCAGCCAGCATCCCGCTGCCTTTCCCAAGCCCTGCTGTTATTATTTTTGCACTGTTCAAAGCAAACGCCCTAAGTCCCTTGTGTAATATGAGTCTGACTGTAACAAACTGGTATACTCGCACCAAAACAAGGAAAGATTGCTTCTGTCTATGAAGCTGAAATTTTATTACTTTCAACTCTGAAAACGTCAGGCGATACACTGAAAGGCACTCACTCGGACGACATAGAGAGGTCTTTATTCTCCTTACCTCGTCATGCTGTCCGTGATGCAGTTCTGACCCAGGTATCCCTCACCTCTGGCGTGTGACATGCCCGGGCGAGATTTCCACGACTCCATTAACGCCGTTACGGGCGAAATTAGATTCAATAAAGGGTTGGACTGGTCCCTCACATCATGCCGCGTGAAAGACATTGTTCCTTGCGCTCCAATCTGGTAATGGAATGAATGTCCACCGGAATTAACTCCAACAATGGCCGATGTGGGCATGCTGTTATTCTCTTGGTAATAGCCGCCATCAGTGGTCTCCTGCTTAACCCCTTTAGACAGGACATTGTTGGAGAACACATCCGGCTCATAGGTCCCATTCATAGAGGGGACAGGGGGTCCTAAGATACCAGAAAGACTGTATTCATCAATGTTATTCCTCAAGGACAAGTAGGTGGTCTCAGACGCAGGATAGAGACTATGGGATGGTGACTGCTCACCATAGGGCTGTTGGTTCATACATCCCTCATCTTTGTTTGGCTCACTCTTGATCTGTGTGATAAAAGGTGTGCTACTCACATTACATTTGGAGCCGCCTAAACACATGCTCCTGAAGTCAGTTCCAGGCTCGTTCTTAATGTACTTAACCATGCCCATCTGGTCTAAGCCGACATTGAACACCTCCCCATCTACCATCTCTACTTTAGGGAATTCAAAGTTCTTGAAGTCCGTGTCTCTGGTCAGACCTGTTGCTTCTGGGCTGTTGGTGTCATTCTGCACCAAACCCAGTCCGCCAGCAGGACTGCACACAGGAAACCCACCCGAGGAGGGGTTCTGTGGGCTGCTGACAGCCATGGTGCCCACTTTGCCCGGACTGGAGATGGAGGGCCTTGCTGTGTTGCCGTTGTTGGCAGTGCTGGTGCAGCAGCCACCTGTGGGGCTCGAGACACATGACCTAATGTTACAGCTGGTGCTGCAGGACGGAGGCGATCTCACACTACTCATACTCTGGGGGCTGGACATGGGGGACCTCATGACGTTGTGCGGGCTGGTGAGAGGTGGTGAGCCCACTGTGCTGGACTCCACGGGGCTACATGTGGCTGAATTCCTGCGCTTGATGTTGGCCAGAGCTGCAGCACAAGACGTCTGGCTGACAGGACTATTGACGGACGAGCACACCGGTCCAAAACACATAAGAGGACTGGTGGTTGACGACACCATATTGTTGCTGCCCCCTGGGCTGGAGATGGAGCTGGAGGTCTGGGGGCTGCAGGACAGAGATGAGGCCAGCATTGAGGCCGAGCTCACTGGAGTCCCAGTGGTGCATTCTCTGGGAGTGGTGCTGGACTGCTGGAACCCAAATGGCTTTAACTTGGGGCTCTTTGTGGATCCACACTGGGTCTCCTCTAGAGCCCGTCCACACACTGTATACATCTTCCCAGGGCTGCTATTGCCCCCGTGATGGCTAAAGGCAAAGTCTGCCTCCCTGGCAGCATTCATATACAGGCCCATAGACTCAGCCACGGTCTTGGAAAGCTCTTTAGAGTCCATGTCCTGCTTATGACCATGGAGGGAGTTGTTGAAGTGTGGGAGAACAAATGGCTGGTTCTGGCCGAGCCGAAGCATCGGCTGCTCCTGCTTCTTTGTATTGTTGTCTTTACAGTCGGTGGCTGGGCTTCCAGCAGGGCAGCTGACATCGACTATGTCCATCAGGATATCGCTGCTAGTCAGACTTGAATCCTCTGTGCTGCTGCAGTGCTCCATGGTGATGGGGACCTGCGACCATCTGTTCTCTGTATCACTTCCATCAAAGAAACTTTGGTATCTTTTGGTCTCCATAGCTGGCTCATTGATTCACCTGGTACATGAAGAAAAGAAGAGAAATGAATGAGAAAAGCTGCACACAAGGCATTGGTTTAATAATAATAGTTGAGTAACAGGTTGTATTAAGGGTAAGTATCTCCAGGCAGAGATTACAGGTCTCATGTGAGACAAATATTTGTATTAAGGAATATGCTAATGAATCTTAAATCTAGAGGTATAGTCTTGTTGGTTTTGGATAGCAGTAAATTCTGCTTCAGAGGACAAAAAAGGGTAGAGCGAAGGAAAAATGTCTGTGTGAAGAATATTATATCTACAAATAACACGCACTATATTTAAATAATTTGACTTTTAAACATAAATATAACACTGAGACAAAAACATAAACGATGCTGTGTAAACAATGTGTTAAATCTGAAAAGGTCCAAAGCAAGTCAGTACAATATTTCCTCTCTCAAAGCTCCTCATCGCTGCACTACAGGGGATGTACAGTCTGATAACTTGACCAAAACTGCATTGCAAGGGGTTAATGTATCTACGTGACGTCGTCTGGGCTTTTCGTTTTAAATTCCCACCTCTGCTGCGCCTCTATTGGACAGCTCAGCCAGAAATCCACCAGCTTTATCAGGCCCATGCACGGGTTGGTCGGAAAGCTGTCACTCAATAGTTACTGCTCTTGCAGCCACAACATTGCTGCGACATAACTTAAAATGTTGCTTTGGCGGTCATGTGCAAAAGGAACAACAACACTGGCAACAATCAGACACTTGAGCAGGTTGCAATAATGAGGCGTTGCTTTAGGTGATGTTTGAATATGTATCTTTCTGCGCTACAGCGCACTCTTTGACGGGCTCACAGCGGCGGAGCAGACAAGACATCGGAGTTAAAGTTATTCACGTTGCCTGCAAAATGTCCCATGCACATTGTGTGCAGATCCATGAATACAAAAGAAAAAAAGATGTCAGAGTGATAATTCCTCCCACTTGCTCCTGCCGTGATTGCCCTGCCTCCGTAGGACATGCAACTCTCTGCATGTCTCTCCATTTTGCGTATGCGCAGAGTAAATACTAAAAGACGATTTTTGCTGAACTGTAGCCGTAAAAGTTATTATTAAAGTCGTCTCGTTGACAGCTTTTTGAATGAAAAAAATGACTAAGTGCAGAAAGAATGAAATATGAATTATTAAAGTCTTTATTTTTGGTAATAATTTGACAGAACCAGATATGTCTCAGCACCTTTGAAAGACGCTTACAGACACATACAATCTACTATTTAAATGATTGCGGTTCTTTTTTTATCGTACACGGAGTGCAAAAACTTCTTGGCGACTTTTATGATGGAGCAGACCCAGAGCTAACGGTCCCGGTGTAAAGTTATTAGATTTCCCCCCCCCCCCCCCGCAGCAAATGGACCCGGGATGCAAGTAGTCAGTTATCCGACTGAGCAGTGAGTTTGCTTTCATTATCACCTCAGACCCAGCGCCAAATAAAAATGTACAGTCACACACTGAGCTCCGTCCTTCCTTACCTTAATTACGACATTCAGAGTTGTCAGGTGGCCGTGTTGCTGGGCAGCGATAATCCAGAGGACCAAAAAAAAAAAAAAAAAAAAAAAAAAAAAAAAACAATAAATATCAACAAATGTGCTCTGTCTACTCTTTCCAATACATAGCTTTCAGTTTGACAGCTAGACACACTGGAGAAGTCTACTGCGTATTATCACCAGTAATCCTCAACAGCGAGCCGCTGCTCCCTGACAGGACGAACGGCAGCGACGGGTCGGACGACAGCAGCAGATGATCTCACATTATGGCCGCAAATTTGCAGATTAGCGATGCTGGGCCCGAGATAAAAAAAAAATAAAAATAGGTATAAAAACAAACGGAGGAGTCGGTTTGACTTGGAAGTCAGAGAGACGTCATTCTGTGCACATGGACCCTCCTACTGCAACGAGTGCAACACAAACTCCGAGCAGGGGAGGCGGAGGAGAGAGGGGAGGGGCCCAGCGCAGGTAGACAGAGCCGCCTGGAAATAGGGCACCGTGCTCAGCGCAGTGTTGTCTGAAATAAAGTCTCAGGATAACAGCGAGAAGCAGACTTCTTTTATTTAATTACATTTTTTTTCCTCTGCAAGTTTGTTCCATGTTTCTGTCGATAACGTTAAATAATCCGTCCTCTTCCCCTCACCGCGCTTTAAGATGTTTTTTTTTTTTTCTTCTTGTTTCATCTTTTCTAGTGCCACCTCTGAAATGGTTTACCATATAGAGCTCGTGCACAATCATGCACGCACACTGCCAATGTAGAGTAAAGCCCTCTCAGCCTCACTTTTACAGTTCACGTGGATTTGTATTAAAAAGAAACCCTATTAACATTGGGCGAGGAGTCATTGTTACTGTACGAGAGAAATCAAGTCCGAATGGTTCAGGATGTTTCCCTTTAACATCGCAACGGCTGCCTCCACTAGGTGGAGCAATATTTCTATTGCTGTTGGAAGAGCAAGTCTATTGAGTGGTCAAGATGTCACTTAATTCACTATGATGAAAAAGATTACATGTGCAAAAAATGGATTTGACATTTAGTTAAAATATTCTTTTGTTTTGCTTTTGGTCTGCCAACCTAAAAATGTAGTTGTCTTGGCTCATGAACGATCAACCACCATCATAAACAAATTGACATGTATATAAATGTGTAAAGGAAACTACAACATAGGTTAGGTAGACCTTTTTTATTCTGTTTTTAAAACTATAGCAAAATACATGTAATAGAGTGTGTTATTTAAATGTTCAAGTATGCACCCAATGGAATCACTAACCACTGAAATGATAATGATAAAGTAGATAAATACCCACAGTTAATAAAACCTACCAAACCTACAGTTAAACTGGCATACTGTAACTTAGATTGGATGAGATCAGTATGTCTTTGGTGCACTCATCAGAAAGTACAATGTGCCCATGTTTATCTCGATAACACCAACAACAACATCGTATGCACTAAGCTGTTATTTCGATTTTACTTTATCGATATGTCATGGCATTGATGATTGAAGGTAGACTCTGGTTTCACTCCAGCAACATCCAATAATCAGTTTAAATCTCTGGAGTTGTCAGTCAGTCGAGTCACTTTCTGTAGTGTTTCTTGTGGCTGCATAAAGGTGTGCATGTAGGATTTAGGCTTTGACAGTGGGAGCTCTATATAGTGTTAATGTTTGTCTTTATTGCATGTCTGGGTTTTCCAAGCCAGCCTGTAGCAGCCATTAACTGAACGAGGCAGCAGCAGTAGTTAGATTAGTCAAAGCCATCCAAGCAATACTGCCCACCTCCCTGATCTGCCTGTTAATCACCCATGAATGGGGACCTGCTTTCAGAAAAAGTAGGAGAATTGAGATATAACCAATGTTTCCCACCCCCATTCACGCAGCTCCCATTTGTCCATTGCTCATAATGGGTGCCAGTCAAACACATCATGAGCAAATCTAATTTAACCTTGCATCACAGATTTTTCCACAGTGACAGTCACAAGAAATTGCAGACTGACAGCAGAACACGGCTGACATGAAATCAGTAATAATTGCTTCCCTCATTGGTAAAAATTTGAGGCAGCTCCATTGAGTCCCACTGAGCTTTCAAGCACCATCGTTTTAGTCAAATCAATGATAATCACAGTAGCCTGAAAACACTGTATATACATGGGAGATAAAAATAGTTTTGTTTTTAGAGGGCGGGGGTCCTTTTGGATGAGTGATTGCAATGATTCGGAGCAGGCTTCCACTCCAGTTTAGAGACACAGCAGACAACTCCAGTAGCTGGGAAAGCCAAAGGCAAAACAGAGAGGTGCATGCTGCGCCTCGTGGGGACAGGTGAATTGGAGCATGTTAACTCTGAAACAAAACACTCGTCAACTCAGCAGAAGACCCTGTCCCCATCGTGTGTGGTAATTACAGTGGTAGTTTTAATCAGGGAAGAAGTCCGTCACCATCATCCTCCCTCAGCTGCTTATTGTTCCAGTTTAGCCATTATTCATGAGGTTCATTCACATCTAAAGTGATCATGTAGCTGTCCCAGAAGTGAGCCACTTGGTTACACTTCCTTCTTCTTTCTCACAGCTTTGAATTAAGTCAATTGTTACGTTCCCCTTTTTGGCAAACACAACACGACACGTAACACAATGCTAAACCATTTTAGTCAACATCCAAAAGTCATTTCTTGCAACATAGGCTGCTAAAGCATTGAACCTGCAATATCAGATGTTTTTAGCCACTAACGGAGCATGAAGAAGCTGTAAACAACATTTATCAACTTCTAAGTTGAAATTGTGAACTTTTTAGCAAACCTTATACATCCAGCAGATACAGAGCAACCTTAGCAGCCATGGGAAGGCGGGATTCTGGCCACCTAATGAACGCTGTATTGTAGCTTTTTTTTCTACTCTCCCTCCAACTCCTGGGAAAATATTTTTTTGCTAAGCATGTGCCAACTTTGTCTGTGTGTCTTTTGCGCTGTTCAAGTAGCGTACAGTGCGTTTAACAGCGCTTCTCCACTGAAAACACCTGCTTGCTGATGAGAGCCTTGAGTATAAACCAAAACAGTCAAGTTTCAGGCTGTAAAGCCGAAAGACCTAACTCATCAAATACCAACACTTGGTCAGTGGCGCTACGCTTCAAACTATGACGCTCTAGCGTCAGTGTTGAACGTGTCATGCATACAGTGTTTTGTACTGTACTGTGTGTGGACAGTGAAACTTACTGTTTCCGCTTGTTACGCATACCTTGTCTTTTCCAAATAAACTCCCAACACTACGTAACTGCCGTACATGAAGTTAGTTGAGTACGTCAGTTACGTAACAAAAGTAATGCAAAATCGTTGACTTGGTTTCACACGAGACAAGAACAGCGGCCTCCTATGTCTTGTGTTTCTTTGATCCAACCGTCCACCCAGAACTCATCCCTACACAGACTTTATACCATGTCATATGCTCAGAGCATCTAATAACGACACAGTTTGGTTTACGATGGGGTTAGTTAAAAGCATCTCATACAGATGCTAAAGGCTAACTCGGTACGACGGTATCAGACGTGGAGGGCCATGGACCAAGCGTCTGTATTTGACCAGTTGGGAGTGAGACTGGGTTGTTCCAATGCTCTGTAGTGGTGAGGGGAACTGCAGAGTTTTGTGTTCATCCCTGCAAGTGAACTCTTCATATACACGTATTCATTTGATCAATTATCATTAAGAAAATATTGATTATGGCAGCTTTAACAAAAAAATGAAATAACTTGTTCAACTGTCTAGTAACATGTATATGATATAGATTGCTGGAGTGAGATCAAGACACGCACGTCATCATCGACCCCCACAACCACTCTGGCCAATACTTTTTGCCGTTGATCACTCATTCTGCATGTGGTACATTTCATGCCTTTGCGTGGCAACTTCGAGCCCATCTGTGTGATCATCCCTGGCCTGTTTTCATTAAATGTGTCTTTTTGCTACTGTAAACAATGTTCTAGTTAACAAGTATTATATGATAAGAAACCAGGTCTCATTCTGTTTGTCTGAGGGTCTTTAGTATGGCAGGTATATGCTAATGTCTCTGGCACACAGACTGAATAACCCCACAGTTGGATGATAGTACTCTTGCCTATGAAGGTCAGACGTGGAAATATATTGAATTTTAAATAGGGTTGCTATGGGAACAAGCATGTTTTGACATCTGAACTGGCTATGGCAAATGTTAATTAAAACCTTTATAAGTGATTATTTTTGAGTCAACTCCCCTGCATTTATAAGTCATTTGCAGAGATTGCATGCGCCAAATGTGAAAGGAATCAAAATCTCTTTTGATGTCATTTTCAAACACTAATATTAAAGCCTCTGATTCCATGCTTGATTAAATATTCACCCAGGTAACACATCAAATTCAACATGTTCATCCAAGTTGAGCCGTTAGTGCAACATCAAATACTACAGATATAATATTACTGGTATAAAAGCACTCAAATATATGCAAAGTTGCAGAGTTACACAAACAATTTGTAGGATTTTAATTAATTCACTCTGGGGTATAATTTCCAATAGAATAATTCTGTGCGACTGTGTCAGTGTAAAAATGCGCACTTTGTATTAAAACATTACACATTTCAAATAAAGGCATATTTGACTGATTCCAGATCAGGCAGGAAATATTTTAGGGAAGAAATCTATCATCATTAATGAATAGATTACTTATGTTTTAGATATTCATGCATTATTTTGTGTCATTGAAATGTGAAAAAGTGTGATAGAAAACAAACAGCATGTTATGCAAAGTCTTCATGTGTCTCTTGTGAGACTCCGACGACATAAATAGGGCCATCTTCCAGTCCCACTTTTGACACAGATTGCTGTTCACCTTAAGTTGCCCTACTACACGGATGGCACGTATTGTTTAAACGCTGAATGATATGCATTCAGCCTGCCTCTCTGCAGAAAGCCTCTCGTACTATGTGTACACCACCTGGGGTTTGTTCAGCAATGACGATTGAAAACACATTGATGATTAAATAACATGTTTATCCTCCGTGTAGTCAGGCATACATATTCAGTGGGAACACTGCGTATAGGCTACAGCCTGGCTTCGGATCAGATT